ATATACCACCTGCAGCCTCACTGTACTCACATCCACTCTTATTGCCCATAAACACTCATTAAGTGTCAATGAGTGTCAGTGGATGCCTTTTTTTCCACATGGAGGAATTCAGTGACATCAATCATACACACTTCCACGTCAGACACTGGTCAGACTGCCCCTCTGATGCCTGCTGTCACAGAGCAACAAAATGTAATGGAGTATTGGTGGGAAGGTTCAATCCCTACTGCCATACTACCAATGCCTACCTCTAACTTCTTGGGCCAACACAATCAAGTAGGAGGCATTACATACACAGCAGACATAACTTACAGGATGTACCTTTCAGTGTCCAATTCTTACCACACTTTATGCAGATACCAGATAGGTATTTGAAGAACAGTTTTATCAGAGAAAGCAAATACATTTTTATAAACTTCACAGAGTGTTGGCAATCTGCATGGACTTCAAGGCCTTGTTTGCAATACAAGTCCTGCAGTACTGATAAGCTTTCTAACAAAGCTCTCAGAGAGTACTAAGAGGTTCGTTCTTAAAGTACATCTTTCCCATTCAATGGACCTATTAAAATGTCAGTGGTTTCTGGGCTGGTTCAGCCCGATTCTGTGACTAATAGGGGCAGAAGACCCACACCCTGGGAGAGGGGGAAGGGGCATGAAGAAAAAAGGCAGGGAGATGGACCTGAAAACAAAACAGTGGCAAAAAGCTGAGAGGGAAAACTAATTTACTAAGCATGATAGCGGAACTTCCCCTTTCTTGTTTCAAGGTCAGTCTAGCACAAGGTGTAATGTATTTTGGAAGAGCACCAAAGTCTATAGAGGTGTACAGGGCGTATGGCAATGTCAAAGAATGTCTGAGGATGCACACAGGACCTTTACCACCAGTTCCATTACACCTGAGAAATGCCCCGACGAGGTTCACGAAGGACTTGGGCTATGGTAAAGGCTACAAGTATAACCCCATGTACAAGGAACCTGTGGAGCAGGACTATCTGCCAGAAGAGCTGAAAGGAGCAGACTTCTTTAAGGAACGAAGAACGTGACAGCCCTGCTCTGAATACTTCTTGTTATTATGATGCATACATTTGTATTGGGATGAAGATTTCCCTGCTGATTGCAGCCCAATATTTCTGGAGCTGAGAGTATGAAGTCACTCCGCCCTTGAGATATTCTTGTTATTTCTGCTGTCATTCCAAAGGAGTTTTGTAAACCACTGCAGTCAGGCAGTATGGAAATACAAAAGTAACCTTAGCAATGTAGTTCTGTCACCCACTGGTTCAAGGGAAGTGGAGAAAAAAAAAAGTGTTTTCCACTTTGGCCCTTGTATCTTGTCTTTTCCTTATCTTGAGATAAGGAATATGATCATGCTGCTTTTTAAAATGGGAATCCAATTCAAACTTTTAGAATGTTTATTTTCAGAAAGAGACTGTATTCTCCCCTCCCCTGGTAAAATACGGTAAACAAAATAGAATTACAGTGTAATTCTTCCTTGTATGATGTTCCGGAGAAACTTTCTCCAGCAACATTTATTCAACTAATGAACCTGTGGAAATCAGTGCCTGTACATTTGTTTGAATACTTACAACAGCAGTGTGGTTTTGAAAGTCTGAAAATCCTTTGACTTTTGTCATGTCTATTTTCTACAGAAAATGTAAACTATTTCTGGAATTATGGTAGTCATTAAAATTGATGAAATGGTTGGTTTTGAAGTTACATCACTTACAAAGGTTGGTGTAACATTTTGGTAAATACTTTTGGAAAGCAGATTCCTGATAGCAAAGAACCCTCTGGTATTTTGAATTGTATTTAGCATGAACTTTGGATTGAAAAGCTGAGCCAGACAAATTGAATGACTGCTCTTAAAATAGAGAATTTGGCTTTGTCCTCCAACTGAAAACATATGAGGGAGTGTCACACCTCCATGGTAGACTGGCTGAGGACAAGCCCTGCTCCTCACAGCAAGCCCCACTATCCTCCAAACTCAGCACTGAGCCGAGCAATCCCTGGGCAGTTGGGACAGGGACAGTTAGCACATCCCAGGGCTGAGGACGTGCAAGATGATCAAGGGCAGCTCTCTCCTGCACTGGGGAGCCTATCGCTGGACCCAGCTCCTTAGAGCTGAGCAGAGGGGCAGGATCAGCGCCCTTTGCACGCTGGCAGCACGCTGGCACCACGTGCAGCCCAGCTCAGCACTCACCTTTGCGGGCAGCGCTCCTTGCCGGTTCAGCCGAGAGTCCAGCAGGACTCCTGGGTCCTGTCCAGCTGGGTGGCCCCGGCTGCGGTGTGACCAGGAGGTGTTCCACCCCAGGGGCAGAAATTTGCCCTTCCCCCCACTAGTTTAAATGGCGGGATCATTGGAGTAACTTGTGCTCCATCTCCGACTTGTTGAAGCCCTCACATGTTTTGTTAGCACTGCCATGAGTGCCGATTCCTGGTGGTGGAAATAAGGTTGTGTTTCTACGCCTTCCCCAAGGAGCGGAATATGGAGGAAGCGTCATGGGTAGGGACAGCAATGCCAACGGCCTGGTCAATAACACAGAGACTTTTTCTTCTTTGTTGTAACAGATGTTCATTTTATTTATTTAGTCTGCAAGCAGCAGGCCGAGAGGCAGATGTCGTCCTCCCAGCCCGCCGGAGCCGTGCTCTGACGGCAGTGGGGTGCCGGCCTAGCGCCGCCGCCGGGGCCGCCTCTTGCGGGGCGGGGACGAGTCCTGGCGGCTGCTGCTGGCCTTCCTCTTCGGGGGGCGCCGGGGCCCCCCACGCGAGCGGTCCCTGCCCTGGGCGGAGGGGCCCGCTGCCGCCGCCTGCCCTGGCTCCTCCTGGGGCTCCTCCGCTGAGGGCGCGATGGCGGTGCTGGGGCGCCCGGGTCCCCCAGGAGAGCTGCCGGGCAGCTCCTCGGCGCTGGGCCCTGCGGGGCTGGTGGAGCGGCCTGGGCCCGAGGCGGGAGGCTCCAGATGGGAGGTGCTGCTGATGGTGCTGGCTGCAGGTCCGTCCTCCCGTCCTCCAGCAGCGTGGCTGTCCTGGTGGTCCAGCTCGTGGCGGATCGTGGGGCCGTACAGGGCTGCTGCGGTGCCAATGAGCCTTCTCACGAAGGGCACCACATCGCCATTGGTGATCGGCTGCAGCGCCTGCAGCAAGGCCTCCTCGTCCAGTCCATGCTCACAGAGGAAGTTCATGGTGGTCCACTGTCCCGCATGGACTTCCCACCAGTCATCGCTGGACTGCTGCTGGATCTCCTCCTGCAGCCATTGGAGCAGGGGTTCGAGGTCTCCCTGATGTTCCCTGAAAAATGCAGCCCAGACCTCGGCTGGAAAGTTGTGCTCAGGTGGGATGAGCACCGGCTCTGCAGGCCCCTGCTCCTCCTGCAGGCCTTGATCTTGGTCTGAGTGCGCTGCGGGCTGCGGGACAGCACACTCGAGGAAGTCATCATCCGACCTCACCGAGTATCGGATGGTTGTAATTTCGTGCCCGCATACGGCACAACTCGGCTTCTTGTAGGCCCACCAGATGGCACAGCCGTAGCACAACTGGTGTTGGCAGGGGGTCACGTAGGTGACATCCTCCCGAATTTGCCCGCAGATGGGGCAGACCCAGTCGGATGCCACGTCCATGGCCCCGGGCTGTGCGGTGGGCTGGGGAGAGCTGAGGTCGGGAAGCTGCTCCCCTCGCTGGTGCTGCAGCAAGCAGAAGGTGTTACAAACTGCAAAAGAGAGAGAGAGCCCACGGTCACTGGCTGCCCCGGTCCCTCAGCAGCAAACCCTCCGGTCCCTGTTCCCCACCAGCTGCTGCAGGGGCCGTGATGTCCTGCACCACTCACCTCTGCCGCTACAAGCGCACCCTGTGCGGCCCCAGCTGCCCGAGGCAGGCAGGGCTGAGGGAAACACTGCTGATACTGTGGGACGGGCACCAAGAACTGGTGCCAGCAGCCCTACAGCTCAACACAACCAACTCGCTCAGTGCTCCAAGTCTCGCAGCTATGCTCAACTGGAATCCAGGCACGAGTGCACACTGGCCTCTGCCAGAGCCCAAATCTATACAGGAAAGGCTAGCGAGGTCACAGTCATCTCCATTGCTGACATCACAACAAATTGGTTGGTGACCTCACTGTCCACCATTGCATGTGATGGGGCCCCAGCCTGGGCCTCCATTGCCCAGCATCATTCCGTGATTTTCCTTTGTAGCGGTGATAGACTTGGGGAAATAAAAATTGCAGGTTTCTACTGCCCATGTAACTTGTAGCCAACCTGTGATTAATTGGTGCCACAAGATGCCATGACTAAGCTTGACAGGTTCAATATGCAGCAATGGATCCCACTTTGGCTGGGCTGAGGACCGGCTCCTCACAGTTGCTGTCTGCCCACACTGTGTGGATAATGGACTGCACGCCCTGTTTGCAGAGTGGTCACTGGGGCCTGCTGCTAGTCCATAGCTGGGTACGGTGGAAACAAAACTGGTGGCAGCATGGCATGGTGCATCCACGCTGTCCCAGTTCTCCAAGCCTATGGGCAATGTTTGTCTAATGGCACTTCCATGCTTCCACCAGTTGCGGTGAGCATGGGAGAGCGGGAAATGACGATGTGCTCCCCAGCTGAGATGCTGTGACAGCAGGTGTCACGCTGGAGGAAGACAAGAGACCCCATGGACATGGGCCGGCCTGGGGAGGGTCTCTCAAGAATCCCCCTCCTGCTGCCTGCGTGAGGCATTGCCACGCTGCCTACCTGCGCTGCTGCACGCGCCTCTCCGCGATGTCCCGGCTGCCTGCTGCCAGCAGGGTCGGGGTACAGCAAAGTGGCTCTGAGACGGCGTCTGAAGCACGTTTCAGCTCCCAAGCTCGCCCTGTCCACACTCCAGTCCTCGCACACTCGCTCGGTCGGAGGCCAGGCACGAACTGCCGGGCCGGGCTGCCGCGCCCGCGTTCAAGCAGCGTGGGCCAAGCAGTCACAATGCGTTGCACGGAGACGTCACAAACCACGGCTCGGCCGTGTCGCCAGTGCTCACCTTCACTGGCTGACATCACCACCCGTCCCACAGTGATGTCGCCGTCCATTGATGCTCATCACCGTGCGCCGGCCTCACCTGCCGCACGCGTGCCAGCAGCACTCCAAAAAATTTTGCTCATATTTGTTGCTATTCTTTTCTGTCTCGGTAACAACCTAAACTGCACTTGCTGTACGCTGATACTGCACACTTGTACTGCTCACTGGCGTGGAAAATCACATTCTTCTTTTTGTTCATGGCTTTTTACTTTTATCATTTCAGTGCTGCCCTGAGTGTGGTATCTCAAATTTAAATCAGACGATAAACTAGATGGTACGTGATGTATTGGGTGTTAGGTAATGCAGTAGGCGTGCAGCTCCGTGAAATGAAGGACTTCTGTTTTCCTGTTGACAAGCCAAGACGCCATGCAGTTCAGCTTGCGACTGTCTATATTAGAAGTACTGAGAGGTTTTGAATTGGCTGGTTTGCAAATCAGTGTTTAACATGGGCTTCCTTTTGGTCTTCCATTGAACAGTGCTGGAAAATTGTTCCCTTTTTGGAACACCCATCTGATTTCCTTGCTGAAAAGACAGTTGCTGGGATAGCACCCTTCTTCAGAGACAGCACTCTAAGGCAGAGAACCATGCGTATGGTAGTGTGTAGGTCACTCCGAAAATAGTGCCTCCTACTTTTTTCCATGAAAACTGTCACAGATACAAAAAGCACAAGAACATTATTTAATAGAGAAAATTCTCAGCTACAAAACACTATTTCACCATTCGCTAACCAGTACTTCAGCCACGAGTATTATCTAAATTTCACTACTGCTGTAAAAAAAAATATACCCTTCTGATTCCTTCATGTAGTCTCTCTGTATTTGTCTGCTTTGAGATTCAGCTTTCTGTACTCCAGTTGATTTTAGGAGACTAGAACTCCACTCTGTTGAAGCCAGTATATTGCACATTTCAAATTAAACAGTTCTTAATATCTTCAGAAATCTATCTTAAATCACTATTCCAGAAAATTCTTGTCCGTGTTAACCATGCACATCTTTTGCTTCTTCATAATCTGTCTGCCACACCATAAGAAACAACGGTAGTGACTCTGCATGAGCAGCTTTCCCCCATGCAGGTGAGCCCCTTGCTAGATGAGCAGTATTGGGGAAAGAGAAGAGTGGCCCCCATAAACGTACAGGCAACAAACTTGTGCTAATGAACTCCCCTGAGTGCTAGGAAGGATATGATATCACTCCTGAGAACAGCTTTCTTCTCAAGATCATATTAAAAATCCTTTTTTTCTGAACTTTTAGAAAAGCCACTTTTATGATATGATCTAGGGTATTTTGAATTACTATAGTAACCACTGTAAGTGCTAAAGCATATGATACCCTCTATTATGATAAATATTGACACCCATTATGTCTCAAAATGACGTTTTAACCCACATGGTATTATTTCCCTGCTCTGTAAATGGGAACATGACATCAGTAGCCAGTGGGCTTGACTGAGACCTTGATGAATGTAGAATATGACTGAAGCTAAAAGAAAACTGAGAAAATCTGTTAAAACAGATAGCACATCCAGGCAATATCATCACATTAATCTAAGGGTGAGGAATTGATATTTGGATGACCGTAGGTTATTCCCACTTGGTGTGAGTCAAAAGCAGTCACCTATCTGGTTTTAGGATAAACAAATAATTTAGATAACGAGTTAATTTCCTTGTTAACATCAGTGATCTGAATGACACACAGGCTAGAACCTCTGAAATCAGCAAAACTAATGTAGCAGGATTCTCACAGTTTGTTTCCTGTGTCCAGCTTGGCTGGAGACACCTGGGCAAGGATGTTCCTTGTGATATTTGCTTCAGCACTTCCAATATTGCTGAAGCAAGCAAAACCAATACAATACATTTGAAAAGTCAGACTCACTTTGACCATCAGAATAGAGAAAATCATGCTTTTGGATTATCTGTGAGTGTGGCTGAACCAATTCAGCCCCCTTTTTTCATTCCTGAAGACCACCTCTATTCTGTTCTCTTTCGGAAACTGTGATGAACTGCCCTTTTCAAAACCTCCCCCATGAACCTAAAAACTGAAACTGGTGCCTCCCATGAAACAGAAGGGGAGCAAAGACATCACATCAGCAGGAAGAGAAGCAGCTGATTGCCCTCAAACTGAAAGCTTCTTGCCATTTTCTACTGAATTTGCTAAGCAGGACAAAGCAATTGGGATATAGAAGCTCATTTATAATGTCATCTCCAGGACTGTTTCAAACAAACAGTGCAAAGCAAAAGCACTTTTCTGTTCAATGGATCATGTTGTGGGTTTTGAATATGGAATGCGAATGAGCTTGTTGCTGGGGAAGAACAACAGGCAGTAGCCTGAAGTGTCCACAAATGGAGAAGTAGGGATGAAAAATGAGGTTGTTTGTGAGGCCGGTGAATGGAGGATAAATGGCCAGCAGGATAAAAACAAAGGAGAGTGAGAGATCACTTGGCAAAGACGTGGCATTATTTTCAGCAAAAAGCTAAGATGAAAATCTGAAGAGCAATCTACTATCTCTGCTTCCCTGACAATCACAAACTAGGTGGGCTCAAATGACCAAGTTGCAGAAAGCTGCATCCCAGCCCAATACTGCTGCAGGGAGGGGGTGCGGCTCCCACTATTTTGACCATCCAAGGTGAAGCCCCAAAGGGCAGGCATCTCAAGGGCTTGGAGGCTCAGTAGTTTCTGCAAATAAGATCCATTTAATGGTCTCAGTCAGAGCACCAGAACAATGAGGCTTTGTTGCTACTGACAGACAGAAACAATCAGTCAGGGACAGAGGAACAAACACGAACAAAGCAAACCTCTCATTCGCACAAAGGAAGCTATTTTTGGATGCAGAATTCAACATCATTAGCATGTAGTCAGATTTCCGTAGAGGAGTGCATGAACCAAAGTTTGCACTCAAGTAGTTACTGTGACCTTGGAGGACTTTCCTCCTGAACTTCACTGAGAGCAAAAGTGGACCCCAAAGGCTAATTCTGTGGTCTGAATTCTTCAGGCTCACAGAGCAGCTGCACGGATTTGGCCTGCAAAGCACGGTGCTACTGGAGGTGAGAAATGATATCAGCATCCAGGCCCAGAGGATTTTATGAATCTGCCCAACTCTGAAAGAACCAAAAATAGATTTTCTGAGCTCTGACCATACAAATGATCCTCGTAAAGCTGTCAGTGCAGAAGACTGACAGACGGTGCCTGAAAGGTCATAAAATCAATAAACAGAAAGTCAGCTCACAGAAAAGCTAATAGGAGAGTAACTGCCCTTTGGCTCAAAGCAGGAGAAAAAGGTACACATCCCTGATGGTTTTGAGGTGGCAGCTTCTTTGTTGTTTCTAAAGGCCAGAGAGGTGTCTTTGTTTTCCATCATTTCACTTGGTTTTGCAATCAGCCCAATCTGCAGACACTGTAATAAAAACAGTTCTGAAATCCAGAGGGAAACATTACCTTTCCCTGATGAGTATGGAATGAGAAAGGTGTTATCTGATCCTCCAACGTTCTGCATGGGCTGTTAGCTCAGCTGCTCTGTGCAAATTACACAAGGAGCAAACCTCAGGTACCTGCTTCCCAGGTGGAACCACAAAGACTGCAAGCAAAGCCCAAATAAGCTCTTTTTCACAGCAGCATCTTGAAGACACCCAAGGGATCTGGACCATTTTACACACTGACCAAAATGCCATGGTTAGAATTATCCTGGAAATGACATGTTTTCTTCTCCTGCATAAGGTGACAACCATAAGAAGAGAAAAATGAACTGTGGTTGCAAGTGAGGAAAAAGAAGTGAAAGATGCACAGAGGGGAAAATGAAAGAAAGGACACATAGCTTGTTATTATTCTGTGAGAAACTACAGCAATTCAGCAACAGTTTAGGTTATACACACAGACGGGTAATGCAAGGGGTGTTTGCTCCAGTGCCATTTTTTTGCAAGAGCCTCTTTGACTTTAAGCCATTCTGATTTCTTGCATCCAGTAAAACTCCAGTGCATCATCTCCCAGAGGCCACTCTGTGTATTCTCAGGATGCAGCTCCAAGTTATACAAGTTACCTGAGCATACAAATTACTCGTCTGCAGTGTTCCCACTGTCCTTGAAGGGGTATGGACTCATAAGTGTGAAAATGTGGTGCTCTGGCAGCAGCTGTACTTTAGAGAAGCTTGAGAGGAAAAAAAGATCCAAGAGTGCTGAAGCAAAAAAAGAAAGGTCATGTTAATCAACAGAACAACCTGCCATGGGCAAGAGACTCAGCTACATTCTGCTGCCAGGGAAAACTCCCAGAGATGCTGTGTTATTTGGGTGTTGAGCTGATCAGCATCCACTTGTTCTTGCTTTCCTCAAAAAAAAACTGAATCAAAGGAAGAGCAGCAGAAGTAAACATCTTACGAATGCAGTTGCAAAGAATGAATTTTTTATTTGGAATTCAAAAGTCAATCAGTAAAAAGAAATCAATGATCTCCACTGATCCAGTTCACCATACTTTTGGCTTTCACATACCTCTGAATAATTTCCTGATGACTGCTGAGCAAAGACGCACAGTTGAGGATACACTGGGGTGCTCACAGTCAGCTTGTGGTATGCTACAATCTGCAGCCAGTTGTTTTATGAATCAACCCTGCAAAGATTCAAACACACATATTACATCGGTGCATAATATCAGTTTGCATATGACATTCACATTAAATTATTCAAAAGATGAAAGAGAATGGTGTTTTAAAATTAGAGGAATGGTACCAGATAATTGAAGTCATGTCATAGGAGACTATTCCTGTTTGCATGCATGCGTGAAAGAGTTGAAAGAGAGAGAGCAAAACTGCAAAACTGAAAATCTCTGTGTAGAGGTGAGTTCCATTGGAGAGTGAGAACTCCAACCTTATTATTACTTTAGATAATGGATTCTTGCAAGGTTTTCCCTACAAGCTCTTTATATCCTCATGAAAACAAATCCCATGCTCATGAGGCAACTCTGGGAATGCCACGTGAAGTCTTACGACGTGCGTAACACTAAACACATGCACATATATTTTATACATGTATATATGGACAGTTATAAAACAGGCTTCAGTTTGTGCTAAATGTCCTCAAGCTACACACATGGTTTGGGGAAATGAGCAGGAACATTTGTTCTTTCGCTTTGATTTTTTTTAATTGCACACCATATATTTTGAGAGATAATTGCTGTTAGCAAACTTCTCCATCATCCCTGCTGTCAGACTAAAACCATGCAGGCACACAAGAGGAACAATTCACTAAAACAGATACCTACATTAGCAAAAGAAAGAACAAAACCATGCTTTGTCTGAATTTTCTACTGTCACTTGCTTTTGAACTTACTAACCATTCACGGTTTTGTGAAGTATTTAGAAGGTTGTTTTAATTACAGTAATATACAGTTTTGATTGATACATCAATATGCAATTAAATTTTGTAGTACTTCTCATATGAACCATATTCTAAAATGTCTTTCTGCATTAAATCCTATATAACTATATCTTAAACAAGTTTTAATTCACTTTGAATTCTACCATGCATTCTCAAGTTATCAAGGTCAGAGCTTTCATTTAAAAACGAGATATGAACATATTTTTAAAAAGGTATTTTAGAATGGCTGCTGCACAAGACCTGAAAGAGCTGTAATCTGGAGGGCTGGCAGTTGGGTTTTTTCCTTCATTTTAGTCTTGCAGAAGTAGTCTGCTCTACAGCTAAAAAAAAAAAAAAAAATAGAGCATTATGAAAACTTGGATTTATCAAGGATAAATCTCAGCCTGTTTGGCAGATGTGTGTTGGAGACTCCAGTAGCTAAGCTTTCCTACGCACTAAAAAAAAATCGAAAGAAAAAACACTCAAAGGGAACTTTCTTGTCCCCAGATCTGTCAGTGAGCACGGCCAGAGCACATGAGCAGGGCATGTTCAGGCATCATGCTCAGTGCCAGCAGAGAGCTTAGAGCTTCCCCATTCAGTAGTCTGCCCACAGGCACCTGAAAAATGCCCCATGTTTATCACTGAGGTGAAAGAGCAGTGCTACTATTAGCTTCCCAACAGTGTTTGAACGCCTACATGCACTGATCATAGAATCACCGAGGTTGAAATAGACCTCTAAAATTATCTAGTCAACCACCCACCTACCACCATTGCCCACTAAACCATACTTAGGCATAGGCAAAGTATTCAATATTTTGAGATGCAGACTGTTAACTGGTAAACCAACTGCCCTATATCTGCTTTACTTCTTCCAGATTAGCTTATTCCAGACACCTGGTACACCAAGCCCAGTGCTTCAGCCCTGCCCCCTTTTTCCCAGAGATGTTGCCAGGAAGATGCAGGGCCTGTAGAAGAGGAAACTTGTGGAAGAAGATATAAACAAGAGCCACTTTTTCACAGTGCAGCAGGAAACTGGTGCAGAGTCACAGAAGGGACAGACCTGAGGAGAAGCTTGGGGCAAAGCTGGGCGCTGGGAAGGGAGATCCTCCTTGGCTCCAACCCTGACATGGGCCCTTGGGAAGGACAAAACACAGAGAGCAGCCAATGGAGGGCCAGTGGAGGAGCTGTGAGACAGGACAGCACTGGGGGGGCTTTGACCACAGGTAAGTTTCACGTACAGAGAGGATACCTAGCCAAAGGATCCATGATGACAGCCCAGGAAAGGGAGAGGATTTTGTCCAGCTGGGTACTACCATGCTGCTGCATGTCTCTGTAAGACAGCCTTGGGACTGTGCATCTGCCGTAACAACACTGTGGCAAAACAAATCTGTGTCATTTAATAGTACACAACTATTCTGACTTCAACAAGGCCTCTTTCAATACATCCATGGGCAGCCTGGCTTTGTTTCAGCCTACGCTTTGTTTACTTTGGCTCTTCCTGGAAAGGGAACCACTATCAAAGCAATTGTAAATTTGTTTTCTTGATGAGGTACATTAGTACTTTATACCCACCTGAAGGTAATAATAGCTTAAGTATAGCCTTAAGATTTAGCAGCTGAACTCCACCCAGGTGCTTTATTTTTACTGTGTTACACAGACCTTATCCATCCCTTGGTCTCTGCATAGGCAGCTCTTATCAACATTTGAGTGTACACAGAAAAAAAAAGGAAAAAAAAAACAAATATAATCAGAGACAACAATCTCATGGCGTAAGTAGAGGAAAACAAGTAGTTTTAGATAAGCACTGGCCTAGTGTGTTAATCTGCTGTTCAGCAATACTTAGTCACACTGAGAGCATTTTATTTGCCATTAGTCCTGGCGTTTCAAACACCACTGCTCACGCAGTGTCTCACTCTCTGAGAAGAAAGGTGGCAGAACTGGGCCTTCATGATTTATCAGCGCTCCACATCGGACTGCCACAAAAACCTGCTCGATTTGCATTGTTCCCATTCCACAGGCATGACTGGGGCTGCTCAAAAGTGATGCATTGGTGCAATTAGTGTGCCTGTCTGCACCTGTGGCCAATTAATTAGGCTGGGGACACTGGAAAGACGAACAGTAGCTTGAGAGCTGTTTGCACATCACAGATGATGCTAGCAACCTTCTAACCAGGGCAGGAAGGAACAAAAACACTGGCTTGTTTGTTTAATTACTGGTGTTGATTGCACAGAACGTGTCCTAAGTCACAACTCTGTATTTATTTATTTATTCCCCAGCACAGATAGGATGAAAGCCCATCAGATGGAATTTAGAGACATCTTGTTTCTTGAGGTCTAGAGCTTCTGATCCATCCTGGACACAACAGATCTAAAGATGGTGCTGAATCTTCAGATACCTCAGCAGCAAAGCTCTGAATACAGCTGATTGAAGGCCCAAATTAATTAATAGGAGCGAACAGCCTTGATGTTCTGTGGTAACAGATAGCATCAAAGTGAAAACCACTACATATTCAGTGTCAACCATGCTAATGCAATTATTCTAGTCATACAATTTCCAGACCTGCCAGGGAACACAACCAACACCCTTCTACTCATTTTTCTAGGATTAATTTAACCCATTACGTTTTGTAATCAGGTCCTGCCCTGCAGCCTTCTGACTGTTGCTCCATAGCTCTCAACCCCTGACAGTTGATAGAAGCATACAGAAAAAAAAATTAAGTGATAAGCTCAGATCAGGATAATGCTGGCAATAATCTGAGCTGACTAAATGCAGCTCAGGGTGTTTATTCACATAACACTGACAGCAAAGCATATCAGCTAGTTGGTGTTATGCCTTGCAGTTACGACTTTACAAGCTCATTTGCAGCCACTCAGCTGACCTGTTTGCTTCACTCCCCCTTCTCTGGCACCATTGAGAACCGTGCACTTCATCTTCAGATGGAGACTGCACAATCTAACATAGCAATGAAACATCTCAGCCTTACTGCTCCCACCACAAGGTCAACTTGCAGGCATGCCCATTCAAAGGATTGGAGGAAACAGCCACAGAGGAAATAAACAGCAAGCTCTTTGCTGGGTAATTTGTTATACTGTCATCATCAACCCCAGCAAAAGAATAAAGTGAAACAATGAGCAGGATCAAGGTTAGATAGGCTGGGCTCAGACATTAAATACACAAAGCAATATACTCATCTGGGTGAAGCCTAAAAACGCCATGGATAACAAACAGCAGGCTGCAAATCAGTGCTTCAGGTAGCAGGAGAAACTTTTGAGAAGCAGTCATTAATTTGGCTACAGTGATGAATTCCACAATGGTGAAAGCAACAACCCACTTCACAGCTTTACAGATTCATTGCTTATGAGGCCATGAGGAACTGCACAATAATTTAACCTGTCCTCCTGCATAAGACTTCAGCTATCAGCAATCTTTTATAATGCCTTCAGCTGGTGGTAGATGGGTGGTTTAATGAGACGTCTTTCACATATTTGAGTTCTTCCTCCCAGCTTCCCATGCAAGCACTGGGGAGAAGGCCCAGCAGCAAAATGACTCTAATTGGCCCCATTTTGCTCTCCTGTTGGTGGATGTGTTCAAGAAACATGCAGATGTGGCACTAAGAGTTGTGGTAGTGGACACGGTAATGATAGATTGATGGTTGGTACTAGATGATCTTGATGATCTTTTCCAACCTTAATGATCCTATGATTCTGTTGATCTCTCACATTTCTGCACTTGCTGTCCCAGACTAACTCTGCCCATCCTCACAATACACAGTAGACCAGCTTCTTGGCCACTGACTTTGCCCTTTCTTGCCACGTTAGTCCACAGGTGACACAACCCCAGCATTTTTCTCTCACCCCATAGCCCACAGGGCCTCTGAGCTGGAGACCTGCAGCATAGCAAATCTAGCCAAAGGGCAGCAAAGCCTCCAAAAAGGCCACACCAAAGGGCCCATCATTGGAGCAAGCCTGCACTGCATGCTATCCCTCAAAACATGTCCTACACACCCTGTATACAGTGCCTGTGACACACACGGAATCAAAGAATCATTAAGGATGGAAAAGACCACTAAGAACATCTAGTCCAACCATCAACCATCTAACTGTGCCCACTAACCATGTCCCTCAGAGCCACATGTACCCTTAAAAATCCCCAGGCATGGTGAGTCCACAACCTCCCTGGGCAGTCTGTTCCAGTGTATCGGTGGATGTTACAGGGAGAGAAAAAGCACTGCTGTTTGAGAAAGCTTCCATTTAGCCTGAGAGCTACAGCTGTAGTGGGTCCTGATATTTCCTCACTGCTTAGACTGGAATTTACAGATTTTGGGTATTTCATGCCACATTATCAGTTGTCTCCCTCAGTACTGACTTAACCTCTTCAATTTCTCACTTGTGAAGGCACCTCTTTACAGATACAGCGAGCCCTCCTGCGTCTCAGTAGAATTTCCTCTCCCCTTATTCTCTCAGTACTTCAACCAAGTGGCATAACTAAGGTAAATTCAGGGCAACTGTCATCTGCCTGTATCTTGTTTTGATGCAGGCTGCTCTTATTTCAGGCTTGAAGAAGAAGAGCTTGGGGGCACAAAAAATCTTTTCTCCCTCAGCTTATCGCTTTATCTAATAAAACATGCTATCTCACCTGACAAACCTGATTTATACTCTAGCTCATCTCAGCTAAAACCATCATATTTACTAAGCAATCACAAATGACAGAGCACTATTTGGTTTTGCTTTGCTTTTGATACTAAAAAATGAACAAATGCACAATTTTCAGGCTTTTCCTTTCTTTGACAATGCTGCTGTACATTTTTGCCAATTGTTATTTGTCACATCAAAGTGAAACTGGATGACCCACGCCTAATTGTGCAAAGTCACTAACTGGAAAGTGATGCCATGAAAGTCATGGTATAGCACTGCTAATGAAGGAATTCAGCCTCTTACAGCTGCAGAACTCCACTTGTCTCAGGCTATTTACAGGCAGCCAGTACCACTAAAATTCACAACTCAAGGATAAAATATATATTTAAAATGCTAGTAGAGGCTGCATATCAAAAGAAAAGGAATTTCTAGAAGAGAAGCATAAATAACGTGTAGTTTCCTATGGACTGGCTTCTCACTGTTCACTACAAGCTCCAATTTAATTTTTTCTTCTGCTTGAGTCATTTATTGCGGGGATCTCTCCCATACAGACTTTTAAGTAAGATTCAAGTCCATGCTGTACCTTTTTCATAGCTTTGGTACATACACAATCACCGTCTCTTTTCCTTTTACTCTTCTATCCACACATCATCAGAACAGAAATTATCCTTTAGATGGCTATCACAGTGTTAAATTTCATTTGAAAGGTCATTGGAAAGGGACACAGTGACTCAGTATAAGCATACATGACTCATTTCCATAGGAAACCAGGCTTAAAAATGGAAGATTTACAAGGAAAATGAGCTGCACTTTGGCTCAAAGCAATACACTCACTGGAAACATCAGAGTTTGCTGAATATAAAAAGTTAGCTGTATATATTTGTCCTCACCTTTGGTGTTGTAAATCCTCAGAGATCCTCAGAAGACATTGTGTTTATATTCATTATTATCTGTAGCCCACAGATTTCATGTTTATATTCCATGTGTCAGCTAAGGAGGTATGGGAACATCACTAGACACATGTGTGAGCCCAGGCATGTGTATGCACAAGGACATGTACAAGCACATGTACACTCAGGTATCACAAAGAGCATTCACAGGGAGATGTCACAACAGCCCCAGTCCCACAGGACATAGATTTGCACCCATAGCAAGGGCACAGTCGCATCAAACTTGCAGAGAT